AGTATACATTATCACAGAACTACTGTGTGAATCAAAAAAGGTATGAGACCAAGGTTCATTCAGTGATCTAGAATGGGAAAATAAAGTGGTGGATCTGCATTTAGGCTTTCTCAGTAAGTGTGAACAGCAGTGGCATCTCGGTGTGCCACACGCTTGTATTTTTCCTAAATTCACTTATTTCCTTTTTTAGAATCTCAGAGTTTGGAGGAGGAAAAAAAGATTTAACCATGTAAAAAATCTACCTGAATGCACTCAGCCTAATTTGGACAACGTGTTCATTTTGAATTTATTATTATTTAACACATCTAAATGCTGCTGCTGGAATTGTTCAATACCAAATTGTTCACTTGGGTCAAGTTTGGACCAGAGTATTGTCTATGCCATTTTTTAAAGAAGGGTGCTATCCTACTTCTTCCAGATTATAGACCCATTAGTTTACCGACATTCTACCTAAACAGTAAGTTGGTTTCCTCTGTGATAAATTTCCTCTGTGATACAAGTCTTGGTTTCTCAAGCTGGTATTGTATATGAGCGATAAATGCATTATAGGAATGATTATTCTATTACTAACCTTATTCAATTAATAATATCATACTTAATAATTATTAATTGCAAATTTAATTAATAATAGCATAAGATTGTAATTTTTAATAACATTCCTTGCCCTTTGATGAATTATGAGCTAAACTTATGGGCTCAATAAACCTCTTCAGCTAATGAAGCTTGTTGTGTAGACCACAATTCATGGAGGGGGAAAGTTTTGTGTACTTTGCTTAGCTGCAAGATCCTCGTTCACCTGAGGATGCTCAATTAAAACAGCAGCCATTTGTTTGGCACAAATTACGCAGTAGCTAATGACCTGATTGTGCAAATTTTATTTTGACTATCCTTAGATCTTCAAATTATCCCCAGGTAAGTTTGGTGGGCGAGGCACAACAAAGTAGGTAAAGAGACATCATTGTTACTTGAGCAGGCATTTTCTCTGCAGCAATATAGCATCTAGGCAATCACTGGGACATTTTGGAGACAAGTACTTTTGACCATGTTTTATGGCTTATCCATTCCAGTGGGGGTGGGACAGCCCCCTTTTTGGTAGTGTTTTCAGTGTTAATTGATAGATACTGTGTATAAGCTGCTGAGGGAATCTGTAACTTTATCCTATTTTAAATGTTTGCTCTCACAATCTACTCACTTTATATACATTGAACATTTTAATCATTCCTCATAGTGATCATCCCAAGCTGAAAACTCCAGGAAATACTGCATCAACTTAAAGGATTCCCTCTCTTAAAACCACTCATTACACTTGAATTTTTAGTTTATGCCAATCCACAATAGAAATCGTCACTTGAAAAGCATTTGTTTATGGCTCTTAGGCCTAGGAATAGACCTCTTGAAACTTAGAACCCTGGAAGGCATTCCGAAGTTCCAGGTTGGAACCTTCTGGCCCCAAGGGAATGTAGTATACCATCCACCCTGGCACAACACTTACACTTATACCCAACCTATCCTTTACTGTCCCAGTGAGGGTCAGTGTTCTTAGCTAGGATCTCCGAATAGATTGGACAATAAATGTGCAGGGCATAAAAACGGGTATATTTGGGTTCCCTTTAAATGGAAGCTTAATTATATGAAGACACTTCTGGTTGAGCTACAGGCATAACCTCTGCTCTGAGGAATGGATAAACATTCTATTTTATATTGATTATGTGATTTTACTATCACAAACTTAATGTGCCTCACTAAGCAATAGCTTCTCTTATCAACTATACTTCTCTGCCCCTTAAGGCTACTATTTCACCCTACTTGGACATGGAGATGAAGTGGTCATCTACCATATTTACCAGCATATAAGATATATAACATATATAGAGCTTCCCAACTTTACAAGGGTGATGTTTTAGGGGAAAAAAAAAAAAACCTAAGAACTTTTCATCACACATGATTTATAGGTATAAAGTTGGTTTTAAACTCCCTAAAGTTTTTTTTTCTTTTTAATACAGAAAACCATTTTGTTTCTGTAAGAAGATATTGGAGTTAAAACGAGATGAGAACTTCTATTTTGTAACTTTTCATGGGCACGCCAGATGCCGAATAGTTTTTGTATATATTTAGCCATGAGATATGAGTGCCTGGATTTTACTGAGGCCATGAACCCTCCTGTTTGTGAAAGCATATGAATCTGTCCAAATAGATAATAGCAAATATCTGTGTTTAGGGAAGTTTAGGTCCTTGCCAGTGAACAGAGTTACAACACTGCACTGCGACATGCCGTCTTTAATTGAAAGCCTGGTTAACAGAAATAGTCACAGAATGCCTGAAGGATGTGTAGTCTACTCATTCCTTCAAACTTTTAGCTTTGATGATCGCATCTTTCTAGACTAAGAAAGTCACTGCTTGGACCATGCTACGTCAGCTCCTAGCTGACCTGTAGTTGCTACATGCAGCTGAACTCTGGGCCCCCATCCAAAGTACCGTAAAAGGGATTTGTTCAAAACATACTATGTATGTATGATATGAATGTTTTGAGACTTTTAAAATTTCTGAATACATAACTTCTACTTCCTAGAAGAATTTTATTTCAGGATTTAGTGCTGGGAAAAAGTGTTTCTCCTAACTTTTAAATGAAAATTACATATTTTTAAGGGTCAATGTGATATTTCAATATACACAGTGAATGAACTAATTACTACAGTAAGGCTAATGAACATATCCATCTTCACATCGTTATCATTTTGTGTGGGGGGGGGTAAAACACTTCAGATCTGCTCTCTTAGCAAACTTCAAGTATACAATATGGTATTAACTACAGTCCCCATGCTGTACATTAGATCTCTAGAACTTATTCATCCTCTATAACTGAAACTTTGCACCCTTTGACAAACATCTCCCCATTTCTCTCACCCCCTGCCCCTAGTAAGCACCATTCTATTCTTTGCTTCTATGAATTTGACTTTTTAGATTCCACGTATGAGATCATGTAGAATTGTTTTTGTGTCTGGCTTATTACCCTTAGCATTATGTCCTCCAATTTCATACACACTATCGTAAATGGTGTGATTGCCTTCTTTTTAAAGGCTGAATAGTATTCTATCACGTATGTGTGTATATAACAATTTCTTTACCCATTTATCCATCGATAGACACGTAGGTTGTTTCCATATCTTGGTTATTGTGAATAATGCTGCAATAAACATGGGAGTGCAGATCTCTTTGAGACACTGATTTCATTTCCTTTGGATATATACCCAGAACTGGGACTGCTGGATCATATTGTAGTTCTATTTTTAATTTTTGAGAAACATCCACACTGTATTCCATAACAGTTGTACCAACTTACATCCCCACCAGCAGTACATAAAGGTTCCTTTTTCTTCACGTGCTTGCCAGCACTTGAATCTTTCGTCTTTCTGATATAGCCCTCCTAACAGGTGTGAGATGGTATCTCACATGCTTTTGATTTGCACTTCCCTAAGGATTAGTGATGTTGAGCACCTTTTCATGTATCCATTGGCCATCTGTATGCCTTCTTTGAAAAAAGGTCTATTCAAGTCCTTTGATCATTTTTAATCAAGTTGTTGTCTTGCTATTGAGTTGTAGGAGTTCCTTATATTTTTTAAATATTAAGCCCTTATCAGATAAATGGTTGCAAACATTTTCTCCCAATCTATAGACTGCCTTTTCATTCTGTTGCTTCCTTTGCTGTGTGGAAGTTTTTAGTTTGATGTAATCCTACTTGTTTATTTTTGCTTTTGTTGCCTATGCTTTTGGTGTCATATCAAAAAAATCATTGCCAAGACCAGTATCAAGGAGCTTTCCCACTATGTTTTCTTGTAGTAGTTTTATGGTTTCATGTCTTACATCTAAGTCTTTAAAACATTTTGTATGGTGTGAGATTCTTTTGCATGTGGATATCCAATTTTCCCAACACCATTTGTTGAAGAGACTATCCTTTCCCTTTTATGTATTCTTGGTACTCTTGTTGAAAATTAGTTGACCATACATAGGAGTTTACTTCTGGACTCTACTCTGTTCCATTGGTCTATGTGTCAGTTTATATGCCAGTACCATGCTGTTTTGATTACTACAGCTTTAATATAATTTGAAATCAGGAAGTATGATGTCTGCCTCTCTGTTCTTCTTTCTTAAGATTGCTTTGGCTATTTGGGGGTCTTTTGTGATTCCACAGAATTTTAGGATTTTTAAAAATATTTCTGTGAAAAATAGAATTTTAGAATTTTGATAGGAATTGGTAGATGGCTTTGAGTAATTGGGTGTTAAGGTAGTACAATGTGGTAGAAAGCTCCTGTCCAAATCCATGTACTCTTCTATCAATTATGCAGGCTCTCATGGTGAATTTGTGTGTACTAACTTTACCTCTGCGTTCATCTTGTTAACCTCTGCTTATTGTCTCTTCATCCTAATTTCTTTATTTTAAAATCTGTCCTGTTATATGAATGTATGCAAGCTATCTCAAATGCCATTAGGAAGGATATGGGAATGTGGATGTAAATTAGATACAGATATTAAATGGTATTTATTGCCATGGGGAAAAGTTCTCCACTTAGTCATATACATTTTACTCTCTTAAGTAGATGTTCTTATCTACTTAGTTGTAGATAAGTTGTACAGACGAGTGTTAAGAACATGCTCTGGATGTCAGGAAACCAGGATCCTGGAAGTTCAGCTCTGCAAATAGCTCCCTAAAGGGCCAAGTCACTTAACCACTCCAAACCTCAGTGCCCATAGCACTAAAATGAAGTGGTTAGAAGGAATTATTCTCTCTTGTCCCCTGCAGCCCTATGCTTTTAATTCAAAGACAGTCTGCCTATATGGAATCTGAATCAAACTCAATTCTCTGTGACTGGATGGATACCTTGTTCTTCCTCTAGGGCACGTCTCACAAGTTAATTGTTACTAGGCATTTTATGAAAGTGCTAAATATCATTGCAGCAAAGCAGATGACACCTACAAGAGGAATGAAACAATGTGACACAATCTCATTGTGCAATACTTTTATTTTCCTTTTACCTTTGCAGTCATCTTTGAGTAATCGTTGTGTAAACAATAGAATGGAATGAAATTACATTAAATTGTATGCAAATGGCTCTAGGACACCTTAACAATTATGACAAGGCAATTATAAATAACTTTTTTCCTTAGTAATATATATTTGCTTTTTAAAGTACATTAAAGAGCTGCCGTATCTAGGGTTAGCTAGGAAAGAGCAATGGTACCATCCCGGGAGCCCACCTCCCTGAAAGCTTAGACTCCAATTTTGAAAATCCTAAGGTTTGCTAGTTCCATATATAGTCAAGCAGAGGGCTACTTAGGTTGAAAGTATTTATTCTTGGAACTTAACAGCGTTTTACCTTTTAGTCATTGCACAAAACCCTTTCTATTATTTTCACTCCATTTGGGTATTCTGCAGAATTTCAAGTAAAACTCAGATTCTCATATTTTCAAGTTTATCACCTTTAGAATAACAAATCCTATCACTTAAGGAGAGCCAAATCAGAGATGGATATATAATTAGCAATCTAACAGAATGTCAACATTTTATATAGCATCCTAAACGTTCCAGTGAAGCAAAACTTACATATGCCACTTTATATAGAGGAAATTTTAGATCTGAGACTATTCCAGAGTAAAGCAGCCTCAGGCACATTCTTAATATGAAAGTTTGCAAGGCACCTCCCTCTCCCAGGAGACAATCAGATTGTGGATTGGTTTTTAGGCAAACAAACCAAGAGAATAAGCATCCAAGTTCCAAATTCAGTCATTTCAAAATTAGAAGTTACAAATACTCCAAAGATAGACCTGAAACCTTTTGTTTAAATAATAAGAGAGTAACTGCAAGAAGCATATAATCAAAAACTTTTTTTTCTTATAGCTAAGGTGTATAATGCATAAATATATGAAAATAAAATTCACAGTTTTAAAACTAGAATTCAAGTTTGGCTAATAAATCTTAATTTTATAAGTATATTAATTTCTAAATACAACATAAAAGAGGCAGTATTGTCAGATGTACAATTAAAGTATTATAACAGAAATAACAATGAAAGAAGAAATAGGCTTCTGATAGAAAATTCCTTTTGTTGCCAATAAATAGGACCACCTGAGTGTATTTCAGATTCTTTTCACTTAAGGGATATCCAAATTGATTGCTAAGAATATTAAATAGCTTTTGGAAAAATTAGCAACAGTCGTGCAGCTGTGGTGTTTGCTTGTTCTCGTACTGTGAATTGCTAGAGAATAAAGCAGAACTCGGAGTGTTATAAGTTTAAAAAATTATTTTTTATCCCATTTCATTGAAGCCAGACTCTTCACAATCTTCTGATTTTGCTGGGATCTGGGAGTGAGGGGGGTGGGAGGAAGTAGGCAGGGAGAGGGAAGTTGGGGGGCATGACAGATCAGGGTGACATCAAGAGACATACATCAGCTGACACTCAACTGAGCAAACCCAATCAGCTTCACTTCATCAGGAATCTCTGACCCATCACAGCCAGAAGCCTGAAAAGGGAAAAAGAAACTTCAATGCTGGTTTGTTGCTGCTGCTGGATTTAAAGACTTGTTCACGTAATGGCAGATCCAAGCAAAGGCACAGTCTATATAGGACCAAGTGTCCTATCTCTTCCAGGACAGATCCCAAGAATTACCGTCTTGAATGACTACTGGGTGCTAACTGCTTTCAGAAATCTGGTCATCATGCTATCAAGTACTGAACAGTGTTGGGAAGGGAACTGTTACCCATTAAAACTCCTCCATGTCCAGGCTCACAGCTTTGGAACTGCTGATGCAACATACGACTGTCAAGAAACCACATACAAATTTTTGAACAACTGAATAATGTCATTTTAAATGTACTTTCTAATTAGATCATCTTAGTGATAATTTTAAAAATAATATTGTGAAAATAAGCTGAAGAGATCTAACAGGTCACTCTGAAGTAATTTGGCTTTTACCAAAATTATCTCCTCTGTAAAACTGGTCAGAAAAAGAAAAAAAAGTGGACACCAAGTACAGGGATGGCTCATTATAAACAACCGCTATTTAAATCCCAGTGAGTAAGTTTTACAGGGAAAGATATTATAACATAATTCTTTCACATAACAGACTTTTGCTTGTAATATTTTAGGACAGATTAATTGCCTAAAGTTGGCCAAAATTATAATGTGTCAAATACTTTACTTTTCTTACTTCAAAATCAGTAGGGACTGGAAATAAGCCATTGGCCCTGAAACCTCTCACTGGTCCTAATTCATAAGTTATTTTTATTTTGTCACCTCTACTTTCTTTCCCTCTTTTACACACACACACACACACACACACACACACACACACACACACACACACAATTCAGATCACCATCAAAAGCTGCCTGTTCAACCTATAGCACATAAATCAGAATTGGACATTCTCTAAGTACAAGTGGGGAGAAAACATTTAATGAATGAATGTGAATGGTCAATTAATTACCAAAGGACCATACAAAACCTTTTCTGGGCTTAATTCCTGCTATGTTATTGTCACAACAATTAATTTCCCATGGAAAATAGTCCTTCTCCAATCATCACAATTAACCTGCTTAGCACTGCTTATTATGTTCAGAATGTTTAAGAAACAGTACCTAAAATGAGCCTTTGTCGAACTCTAGCATTCACCATCAAATAAGGAGGTAACTAGAACATGTACCTTGAATATTTTATAATAACAGTCTTTAAAATAACCTTCAGTGGGCCAGTGCGCCACTTGGGAGCGCGGCGGCGCTCCCGCTGAGGGTTCAGATCCCATGTGGAGACCGGTTCCCGCTCACTGGCTGAGCACGATGCGGGCGCAACACCGAGGGTTGCGATCCCATTGCCGGTCCCCAGTACGGGCGCAACACCGAGGGTCGCGATCCCGTTACCGGTCAGTAAAAAAGATAAAAAAGGAAAAATAAATAAATAAATAACGTTCAGTGTAAGTAGTTATGCTTACATAAGAAAATCAGTAGCCTAAAGGATGAGAATATTAGTATTTAAAGAAAAAAATTTACTTTGTGCCTGTCCAATGTTATCTCTAGTTTCACTTGACAGAGAAGACATTCAGTGAAGTACAATTTTCATTGCCTGCATCGCCCAGAGCAGTAAGATCAGATTTGCACCTTTCCTTATCACTCTTAACAAAGTAATACACACATCGAAGGCATTTCATTCAGCTGAGTTATTTTCTGGTGTTGTCTTCACATGAATACTGTACTATTCCCCTCCCCTCCCCATCTTCTCATTCCATTACCACTGTTTCTTTATCTCCCTCCCTAAACCTGCCCTTCTTCTCTTCTGTTTGGCTCTTGCTAACATCATTATTTACTCAACCCACTGAATGCTGGCAGACAATGTGTGCCATTAATAGGTGCCTGACAAACAGCTGAGGACAAACTACTGCTCCTGGTGGTGATGAGAAGGTTAGACATGCAAGTGTGTACTTCAAAGCTACATGAGAAATTTGACAATGTGAATATCAGGAAGTTAAAATAACTGGAAATAAAAATATCCAATAGTCATTAAACTGACTAGAAATAAAAAAAATATTAAAGCTTTTCTTGTGAAGTGTAATGGAAATGAAAACTTACAATAAGTGAGTAATCAAACCCATGGTTACTGTGGGAACATCATGCAAGGAATCTCTGGAGAGTCCCTCTGCCTCACTACGGCCCCCACAGCCACCTGGAATGTGTGTTTTCCCCCCGTTTGGCCTTGTTTGCTCCAGGTCCTCGGCCCCCTCTCCCCTCTACCTCACACTCTCTCTTAACCACTGCTGAGGCCACCTCTCTCTCCAGCCTGCAAAACCCAAATGAGGGCAATATGCGGATGATTCTGAAATTCAGAGACAAGGGACCAGAGACCATTCAAAGTAGCAGTGTTTAAACTTGTGGGTCTCAAAGACCTCTTTATAGTCTTAAAAAGTATTGAGGATTACAAAAAACTCACGTTTATGTGAGTTATATTTATTGTACTGTCAGTAATTAAAACTGAGAAATTTAAAAAATATTGTAAACCTTTTAATGTCAAAATATTACTTAAATAATATAATAAATGTTATATTTAAAAACATAAAACACGTTTGTTACATAGGTTATATTTATTATACTATCTTAGAAATTAAAACTGAAAAACTTAAAAAAATTCATTTACTAATTCATTAAACGTAACAATAATATACTCACTACATGCTAACATAAATCTTCATGAAAAATAACCATAGTTTCCCCCCAACTGAAAAAAAATAAAAATAAGAAGAGTGGCCTTGTTTTGCATACCTCTTTAATGTTTTGTTTAACAGAAAACAGCTAGATTATCGTACTGTTTCTGTATTCAATCTACAGATATGTTTTTTTCCTTGAAGTAGATAAAGAAAATCCTGCTCCCCACATATGTAGTTGGAAAAGGTATTTTAATAGCTTTCCTAAATAGTTGTAGATCTCATGTTACTATACCAAAACTTGTCAAATGGTAGTTTCTTAAAGGTTAGTTGCATTGTGGAATCTGAAACCATAGCATTGAACTTTTCATACTCCATTACATTAAAATCCATTGGTCTACTTTGCAAAGATCTTTTACCCGTGCATGATTTTTAAGCCTCACTGAGTTATACAGATCTTCCACATGTTGACATATTTCATTAAACAATGTGAACATTTCATTATACAATGTCAACAAATCATATTCATTAATATCACCCATCAGCAATCTCATAAGAAAAGTCTTTAAGTATTGGGGTGCTGTCAAGCTTACAGTGGCAGATACAAGTTTTCCAAAATCCTATTTTTGTTTAAAAGTTCGAGTTTATTATTGACAACAAACATTGCCAGATTTTTTTCTTTTAACTATCAGCCTAACTTTGTTCATCTTGAAAAAAATTTCTGCCAAATAAGCAAGTATGAATAACCATAGTTTGTCAGTTAGCGTTGCAAGTAAAAATAGTGTTTTATGGAAAAAAACGGCAGTTGCACTCACAACTGAACAATCTCACAAGTGCTTTTCCTGGAGACCACCTTTGTACTTGGGTATACTGAAGAAGTGGGTCCTGTTTCATCACACAGAATATTTAAAAGGTGTGTCCTCAAGTTGACATTTAATAAAATCAACGCTTCCTGCCTCGTTAGGAAAATCTTAAGTGAAACTGGCTTTGCTTTTTCACAGTGAGTGAGTGCTGCATGGCTTTGAAGAATACAGTGACAACTGGTGGTTTGATGTCACTGCCTTGATCTGTGCCAACAGTATCAATTTTACCCACCGTGGCTGTTACACCAATATCAACATAGTGGAAAAGGCAAGTAACACCTCAGTTAGTATTATGATGAAAAGAATTTTGACATCCAGAATCCCCTTAAAGGGTCTCGGTGAGCCTCAAAAGTCTGAAACCCATAGTTTGAGAACCCTGCTTCAAAGTAAGGAGTTCAGAACATACCACCCCAAAATATGCCACTCTGGCATACTGACTGTTTTGAGTTAGACACTTTAAAAAACAAGAACAGCAGATGCAGGAAGGCCACTCTGATCTTCCTAAAAGCAGGAGATAAAACTCCCATGTATAAGGTGTCCTCCCTGAACCTGGAAGAAGAAAGATATTCTTATCATCAGAGGTGTGGTGTCAAAGCCAAGAGAAATCTGTGCAAACCAACCTTGTTAAACCAACCTTTATGTTCCTGGGCCCTTCTCCACCATTAACCACCCTGTCAAGCCTTTTTGTCTTGTTACATTTTCACAAGTAATTGCTTTTTGTCCAACTCAATAGGTGTTCTACTCAAATGGCTTCTTTGGCTCTTCATCCCTTTACGAGGCTTCCAAGTCATGCAAAACTTAAATAAATTTGTATGCTTTTCACAATCTGTCTTATGTCAGTTTAATTCTCAGGCTCAGTCAATATACCCTAAGAGGGGAGAGGTGAAAATTTGCCTCCCTTACAAAAGGAAAATACATACATCAGTCATTTAGTATGACAGTATATAATGCCATGCACCTTCTCACTCAAGTGTGTGCTGTGATTCCTGAAAACCCCTAGCTTCTCACCCCTCCTGCCAGAACAGCAGGTATGGCCTGTGCCCCATGCAGGAGCTGAAGATGTGGTTGCCCAGAGTCAATCACAGGGATTCCATCCACCCCAGATGTGGGTGCACTTCAGAATCACCAGGAGAGTTTGAAAACACACCAGTGCCTGTGTCTACCCCAGAGGATGTGATTGAATTGATCTAGGATGTGGCCTGCGCACTGGGATTTTTTGAGTCCCCGGGTAATTCCAAGAGTCTCCTCTTAGCTGTAGAGTCTAAGAACCACAGATTTACCCCAGTGCTTCCCAGAGTGTGAAGGCCCAAATTTCCTTGAAAGCACTGGTTCTCGAACTTCAGCCTGCAACAGAATCACCTGGAGTGCTTGTTAAAACACAGATTCCAGTCGCTCCACCCCCTACTCTCCCAGAGATTCTAATTCCTTAGGCCTGACACAGGGCCCCAGAATTTACATTTCTATCAAGTTTCCAGTTTCCAGGTGAAGCTGACAATGCAGGTCTGGGACCACACATGGAGAGCCATTGTTTCAAGCTGGGAGTAGGGGGCACAGAACTGCCACATGAACCTCTTAAGATTTTTGACTGTCTTTCTCCACCTTCAGAAGGGGGAGGAAGTTAAAACTTTTAGGTAGTTTTTACCCCATCTGAGTCTTGACTTCATCTGCTCTTTAGGAAATGTTGCCTTAGTCATGCAGCCTTCAACTAGGCCTAAGCTGAGTGCCAATAAAAATAAGTCCCTTTAGTCATTAATTGCCAAAATGCTTATGGAACTTCTATCTGAAATGCATATAATGCTATTAAACTTCAGTGACTAAAATCTATAATGCTCACATAAATGTGTACAATTGGATGTTAATTATATGTACTTACAATTTGTATTCTATCTTCAGGGGCAAATTAAATATATTTTATTTCATTTTTTCACTAATGCAATTTCAAAAGTTCCACAGTGAAAACAGCAAGATTCACCTGATGCAAAACTGCAAGGTAGCCAATTAAAAAATGACATAAAAATATTTATAAAGACCTGTCTCAAGGCTTCCAACGATAGTAATAAAACAGTACTGATATGTCAAACTCAAAGCACATAATACTTAAGCTGAAATGCCCTCTATGCCTGAACCACTTGGTTAAAAATGAAGAAAAGTATCTGATTTCCCAGCCCCTGGCCATGCTAACAATGGAAATCATACTTATCTGTCAAACAGAGCTAACGATCTCACTTGGCAGAGAAAAAAGTAAATGTACTTCTTTATATAACTGATATTCTTGCCCCTTGGGCTACTGTTTTTCTTATAGTACAAGCAGATATACAAGATAAGGACAGACACCTTTTCAAACTTGAACCAAATATTTCTCAGTGGTGGGAGGGAGGAGAGAAGAGAGATTGGAGGTTGAGCCTAATTACAAGTGGAATGCTTCTCAGCCTTGGCGAAACAATGGAATTGCTGAGAGGTGCTTCTGAAATCGCAAAGACCAGGTTGTACCAAGAGCAATTAAATCAGAATATCTGGTGTAGGACCCAGGCATTAGTAATTTTTTTAAGTGCCCCCACTGTCCTCTGAGTGAAACCACTGTGCAGCGAGGAGGTAAAAAAAACCACACTATCAAGACCCTGCTGTTCTTTCGACAATTTTAAGGCCCCTGACATCCTCCTTTAGAAAGCAATGAAAGCCCTGAGATTAAAATGATGATAAACAGCTGAGAGATAAAAGGACCTTCAGCAGCAGGTTATGAGGAAAAACGCTGCTGAAATACTTTGATCTTTTATTCTCCAATAAAATAACTAAATTGATCAATGAAGGCAAATGCATTTGAATCTCTGCAGTTTTATCAGAACATTAGTGTCCCACAGAAGATTAGGCCAAAAATCAGTTCAAATTAGCTCTGTGAAGTGGACCTCAAACTGGCTGGCAGCAGATAACAAAGAAACCCGCTCAGGTTATTACAAGGGCTGGACAGAAAGCTAAGTGACAGAAATAGAAGGTCACTCTTGAGTGTGGTTTTATTTAATATCTTTAGCTACCTTTTGGGGAAAAAAGACATCAATTTCCATTCATTGAGAATACCACACCACCGCATTCTCAACATTCTCAGGCTGCAGTGGAAGGGAAAGCATGTACGGATGTGCTTCCAGGACTGTCTTGTGCTGGACAGACCAATATTACCCAGTCTGCTTAAGGTTCAAAGGAGACTCAAGTCCCAGCCAACGTATATGTATTGAGTCATCTGAAAGGGTTACTGCACAAAGACACAGAAAACTGTAAAACCATAAGGCTGCAGGGGCCCACCTATAAGAATGAATAGTTGCTGAGAGAATGGGCTCGGAGGCTAGATCAGAGTTGAATTCACAGCTTCCAATGTGTGATCCTGAGCAAGTTAAACCCACAGAGCCTCAGGTTCCCAAGATGTAAAATGGACCTGCCACCAGACATAAAGGTAAAGCAAGAGATAGTTTAAAGGGAGGTCTGGTCGGGGGGCTTCATTAGCCATGTTCAGGGGTATGAGTTTTAGAAGAGGACAGCAGAGAGCCATTGAAGTCTGGAGCATTTTGAAATTATAGGATTACTCTGGCTATAGCCACAAAGCAGTAAACAGAGCTGGAAGCTGGCAAATTGTTGGCAGAAGATGACTTTCTGAGGATGAAAGGATCCTACTAGGGTGCTGGAAATGAGATGAAGAGACAAGGACAGAATCAAGAGAGAATCTAGGAAACATCTAAATTGATTTAGAGAAGGAAATGAGAGTTTTATATTGTTCTCACTGTGCACGTAGAGATAGTACAGTAGCTGTTTTCACAAACTTTCATTAGTAGGAAAGGGCCAGGGTTACTATTCCTGTTTTATAAGAAAGTAAATTTAGAGCCAGTGGGAAGAAGCCAGCATGAAAGTTTGAAACTCTTATCTCTGTTTTCATATTCAAGATCAGGAAAATGTTCTGGAGATGGCATAGAAAATGAATAAAGGTACATTTATAGTGGCTTGAAATGCTGACACTGGGTGCCATTTTCTCATCAGTATACTTTATATAAATGAAACATGTTTACAAAACTATATGTGAATTAGAAACATAATAGAGGTGATAGTGTAGTCCCAAACCAGAAGATAAGTTTTCCAATTAGTTAATCTAGCACACTATGTCTAAATAAAATGTTCTTTTATTATCAAAATAAAAAGACTTCAGATAAATTTCTTCTGTGAAAATCTTTGTGTTTTTCTTTTATCACACAGCCTAGCTATCAGAAATTAGATGAAAAGCAAGACCCAGAAAGTTAATTAGCACCAGACTCACATTTACTATAACTAATCATTTAGCATTTTTGGCCACACACATTTTCCATTTAATTTTTGCAAGAAATAAAAAAAGACAGATCATCAAAATATAATGTACACAGCAAAGTGTTGGTCATCTGGATCTTAAATTGCTTGTGGCATTCTAACTGGCTCTTGATAAGATTAATTTATAATTTTAAAATGAGCCACTTATTAGATGTTAATGTAGTGCTTGCTAAAACTATGAGGAAAATAGTCATTTTTGACAATCCAGACTTCACTTCCGACCATGACCTCCATCTCCTGGCTCACAATGATACCAAAATGCCCAGTATTCTGTCTCTGTGGCCACCCAGTATTTAAGTTTAAAATCTACTAGTACAGAAAAACTGTTGAAATATCTCTTCTCTACAAAAATATGCTACTGTGATTTGAAATGTGGAGGTAAATGTTATGTCTTTGTTCTCTAGCTTTCAGTGAGCTGTTCTATAATCGCTTCCAATTACCTGAACCTTTTCTACAACAATCAACCTCTATTTTTAAAAGTTAGAGTTACTTGGCTTTCACCTCAGGAAAGCTTTGTTAGGGGTGTTACTTTGAATTCAGTTTAATTTGTCTATACAGTCAAGTTGCCACACAAACTGGAAGCAAAATGGGACAGGAATCGGGATTTGCAAATGGCCACTCTGAGTCAAAAATGTGATGGGGAAAGAAGAGCTAGGCTCATGGAAGAGGAAATTTCCAGTCATGACCAGAAAATGTTCCCAATGTTGCAGAGGCAAATGATGAATGAAAAAACTGATCCCAAAAGAAAATAAAAACAAAATTACAGAGTAGGTTATTAAACTATATTACTATTTCTTGCTGGCACAACATGGGAAAATATTACTTTCTCTCCATAACTTTCCACTTACCAACTTAAATGTCAATGTTTTTAAAGCTTTGGGATCATCTACAATCTTCTGTAAGTTAGCAGCCACTGTAAAACACAAATATGGAGAAAAATTGTCCAAATTATTTATAACAACACTGGATTTTCACATCAATGATTCAGAAAATTTGACTAATAAAGCAATAAACTGCAAAATCATTTCTTTCACAGATATTACAAAGTCCATACAAACGAACAAATTACTCGTACAGATATTTTCTACAATTTATATCATTTCAGCAATCTTGTATCTATGCACATCTGAATTAATCACTATACATCAATCCTACATTTCATATAATAAAATGTGAAATTGCTTTCTAATGGAAAGTAGAAATGATAGCAGCCCCCAGTGTTTCCACCACTTGTTTTTTCTAAACACTCATTACTAAGAAATTTATTAGCCAGGAGAGGGCAGTACAAAACAAAGAGGAGGTACTGAAAAAAACTTCTCTGGAAATAATAGGTCAGCACATTTGAACTCCTGTCTTATAAATTCAATCAATTCTCTGCACCTATTTTTATCAAAGCAACAAAAGACAGGAGATGACCTCTACCACTCAGGCGTATGCTTTCATGCTTTCAGAGCACAATGATCTGTCAAACCAGTGAAGTGCCCCTTGAACAATACTCCAGTCAGCTGGACAGGGTCAAGCACTGGAGTCTGTCAGTTTGGAGCTTGGTACTGAAGATATGTGTTCAGTATCAGCTGGATTCTTCAGAGACCTGTCCTATTCTCCACTGTGTCATGATGTATTTGATATTCCAGTAGAGAAGTCAGACCTTCCTGCTTACTCCTCTGACTTACGAACAGAACAGAAATTATGAACAGAATTATCAAAAGGTAATGATTATGGAAATTTAAAACTTTGCTCTTTCATATCCAAACCTCAAATATACAGCACTGAAAATTGAGTAAGGGCTATTGGTAACAGAAGGAGAAGTTACTATTAAAGAAATTAGGTACACCAGGGCTACCTCCTTCAGGCATGGTCTTCCCCCATGTCCCACACCATCGGGTCCAGACTGGGGGCCTGAGGGGTCCCTGAGGCAGGGGGATCCAGAGAGCACTTGGGGAAAATTGGAGAGGGAGAGAACTCAAAGCTTAGCTTTTTTTTCTTTTTTTTTTTTTTTTTTTTTTTTTTTTTTTTTTTTTTTTTTTTTACTTTATTATTTTTTTTCCTGACCGGTAAGGGGGTCGTAACCTTCGGCACGGTGCTGTCCGCACCACACTCAGCCAGTATGCACACCGGCCATCCCTATATAGGTTCCGAACCCGCGGCCTCAGCACTACCAGTGCCGCACTCTCCCGAGTGAGCCACGGGGCCGGCCCTCATTTTTATTTTTTATGAGGAAAATCAACTGTTGCTTCAGTAATTAGGTATCTGAAAAGTTGTCTGAATTTTTCAAGATAAAAAATTTTAACTGAAAATAGCAAATGAATAAACAGTCCAAGAAAAGTGTTTTAAATAGAAGTTTCTAAGCAGAGAGTAGAAAGTAATCCGTGCACATTTTATTTTTCTCTAAGGTTGACTGAAAACAACATAGACACATAGATTTTCTGCACATTAGCTCATTTCATTTAATCCATCATCTGTAGAGGAGAAAATAACAAAAACTATATATTCAATATTGCCTATTTCTCTTTATAAACCATAATTACAAGCATCATTTTATCTTCATCTATTGCCTTCTTAATACTTCCAATCTGAGTGATCTGCAAAGTTACATTTTTACCAATGCAGCCCGTCCCCTCTCATCTTTTTCTCCTCTTTCTTTTGCCCACACAAGTAAGCACATCTATATTAGGTATATCTCAGGCCACCAACCTCAGAAGTTATTATTACTTGTTTTTTTTTGTTTTTTGTTTTTTTGGTCCTTTCAACAGTCTCCTGCACTTACTTTAGATACTATAATCATCTAGTAATTCATGGAAGAAACACTGGCTCATGGAGTGAAAAGCTATGCTGTGAAATCCTGTCCACCAAAGCCAGTGTTCATCATGGCCGGGCATTCTGACTGTATTAAAATCACAGCAACTGAACACACTACCCATTTTCCAAAAACATAAAAGTGTTCTAATAGGTCCTCTAATTTGGGCTGATTTCATGAGTGGCCATAAATTCTTCATATGGATTTCAGTCATTAGAATCTCTCTGTTAATGTGGATGATTTACTGCCTTGTTCTGGGTCATCTATTTCCAGTCTGCTCTCTAATGGTCAGCCAAAAGCAGAACTCTGTCCTGCACTAATTCACAACCCTCTCTCTGGTGTACACACATATGTACTAGGGCCAATTTCCAGGGAACTGGCTAAGCAAGTAGTAGACTGCAGGGCAAGACTGAGCTGCTAGCATCTTAAACAATCATTTTAGAAGCCACGTTTCCCAATTGTGAATCCCACAACTCTGGGACATTAGAAATTCAAATTCTGTCTTCAGCTCAGAGCAAAAATAGCAAAACTGGCCACTTACCTGATTACTTATCCCAGCTGCTAGGCTTATTTTCAATTTAGTTGATTCTAATTTGTTGTAAAGTGCTATAAAACACCTTCATTTAACTGACATCACATAAAATTCAGGGTGATGCTAATCTCTCTTCCAGTAGCAATGCTCATTAAAAAGATGGGTGTCACTGTTTTCTCCCTTCTCCTGACTGTGCACCTGGATTTCAAAAATAAAAATGCTCCTTACCTGGAACGTGAGCTGAGAAGGATGGGCTGGGTAGTATTGGTTGTTACTTTGGAGCTTCTCTAGCATATGCTGAGAACATTGAACACTGAGTTTTAGGGTCTCTACTTCCCCCCAAATATGGGCCTTCTGAACCCTGCTTACTCAGTTGGTCATCAACTCATTTCAAATCCCTCCTGGCTTTCCTGAATAAAACACATTCCCCTCATTTCTGATGCAGACTCTGTGTTATCTTCTTTGAGCTCGTTCCTCCCCTCTCCAGCCCACTGTCTTCAGTCACAAGTGCTTTCTTGGGCATCTGGGCAAACAAGGACACCCCTAATACTCACTGAGGCCCCAATGACTGCGGCCCTTTAACCCCACCACTAAGGCTATGTGGTATCTTTGTGTGAGCAATCTATTCTTTGCTATTTTTTGTCTCCCTATATTACACTTAGGCTTAAATACCTGTCAGGGTTAGAAGTTTCTATTTGCTTTTTCTGGATAATGTTTGGCCTAAGGTATGGTAAGTACTGTGCTTTATGAAACTGTAATAACATCATTAACAGCCACATGAAAAAGACGCCGATGCTCAATACCTCCCTGAATCTAAGCAGAGAAGAAAATAAGATCATCCTGGGGGTAATCCATCAGAGACAAGGCGCAGAGCCGACATATCCTTGGCAAACTAAGTCGGGCTTTCTCCAGACACTGTTTTCTCTATAAATTCCTTGTATTCCTCAAATTCTCCACATTTTGACAGTTAGAAAAGTAACAGTTATATAATGACTACAGTCTGTGTTTGTATTTTGAGTAATTAGTCAAAAGACACACTTTCTTTCCAGATACCAGCTTATCTCACAACAATCTCATGTAGTACTGATGTGCTGGTGGCAGTGAGTTGTCATTTACTTTGAGCTATTCCCAAACAAAAGCTGTGGAGAAAAAAGAACCATTGAACACCGAGTCTGATGAACTCATACGTCTGATAGAGAGAAATGACAGAAGCGTGGTCTTGGGCTATCTGACAAGGTGATGGCTTTGAAGAATTGCTTTATCCAAAGAGACACCCTGAATATCTGCTCTGTATATTGCACTGGTGTAGAAAGGCAGCATGAGATTGCAAAGAAAGAGACAATCCAAGCTCTAAGCAAGGAGAAAAGGTGATATGAGGGTGGGTTTCTTACAACACTAGAACAAAACTATGGCTAGCTAACAATCCAGTTTGGGGATAAAATAAGAGATTCACTCCATTATTCTCCCTAAATCTCCAGGCTCTTATCTTCATGAGATGCACAGTGTGTAAGAATAAGAACCTGAATCTAGAGCCAGAGTGCCTGTGTTCGAGTCCTTCCTCCTGCTTAGAACTGTGTGGTCTCCCTGAACCGGGGCAAGTTTATTAGCCTCCTTGTGCTTGAGGCCCCCTGAATCGGGGCAAGTTTATTAGCCTCCTTGTGCTTGAGGCTATGCACCTGTGAAAAGTGGACACTGATGGTACCTACCTGACAGGGTGCTTTTGAGGATAACAGTGCTTGACGTAGAGTAAGTGATTAGTAAATGCTGGCTTATTATCTCTGCCCTGGACAACTGCAGTATCTTAACTGGTTTCTGTGCCTTCAGTCTTAACTCATCATAGCCCGTTCTCACACTCATCAGGAGAACCTAGGTCAAGAATTAGAACATGTTGCCTCCTTAGGTAATACCATTTAACTGTTTCCATCAACTTCAGGATAAAGTCCAAGTTTCTAACATGATCAATGCAACCCTCTATGGTCTGGACTCAACCTACCTCTCCAGTTTACTTTTACCCTCTGCTACCCTGAATCTTCCCAGGAAGGGATCCATAACCCCACTCTCCTCCAGGTCTCTACTGCTGCTCTTACCATTCTGTGCTGAAAGAAACTGGACAGATCTCATTCCCCCACTAGATCCAAACTCTTTTGAGAACCCTGACAAAATCTTAGTCACCTTTGTAAAAGATCTATTTTTACAGTATATGCACATATACAGAAGCCAACGACTTCTCACCACCTCCACTGCTACTCCCCAAGTGAGGTCACTGCCATCTCTCCTCTAGACTTGTAGAAGAGCCCGTGGTCTCCCCACTTCTGCCCTTGACCCTCAACAGCCTCGCCTCCACCCAGCAGTCAGGTAAGCCTTCTAACATGCCATCAGACCATGTCAGTTTTCTCTCCAAAACCTTCTGATGGCTTTCCAGCTCACAGTAAAAGCCATGGTCTCTACAAAACCCACCTGATCAGGCCTCCTGCTCCATCTCTGACCTCACGCCTCACCATTCTCTCCTTCACTGCTCCTGCTGCAGCCACCACAGCCTGTGTGCTGACCTCTGAGCATTCAAAACATGCTCCCATCTGAGGAC